ATTCATGTAGCTGACCCCACGTAGTGGGATTAAGGCTTTGTTGTTGTTGTTGTTGTTGTTGTTGTTGTTGTTGTTGTTGTTGTTGTTGTTGTTGTTGTTGTTGTTGTTGTTGTTGTTGTTGTTGTTGTTGTTGTTGTTGTTGTTGTTGTTGTTGTTGACTTTGAAGGCAACCGTCGGTCATCCACGTATATAAAGTCCCACATTCAACTAAAAATTTTCAAAAAGACAATTTAAGGAGGGCAATTCTTAGCCATGAACAGACAATTGACAAGTGGACAATCAGATTACAATATTTTAAAATTTGTGATTTATCATGCATACAGGCGAAAAAAATTTTATTAAAGCTAGCAATCGAAAGTATTTACGTTGTAAAGGAAATCTTTGTTCTATTGTTATATTTATATATTTTTGAAAAATAAATCGCCCACAAGTCGATTGCACTGTCGGGTTAGGACCGTCAGCAGCTTAAGAAAGAGAGGGAGCCGTGTTAGCCTAGTGTCAGTGAATAATACATCCTACACTCTCACCAGGTCCCTGAGTCGGCTCTCGATGTCGTGGGATGCAATATTGTTATGCTTTATTAGCGGATATCTTTGTCATCACCGCCTTTAAAACCCGAGCCGTCCAACTTACAACTTTGCTTAATGGTTCATATATAACCTAAACTATATATGTGCACTTATATTAGGATATAAGCACATATCTAACTCATTAAGCAAAGAAAAGAAAAGAAAAGAAAGAAAAGTGAACCAAAAGGAGAGAAGAGGGATTGATCCATCTCCAAAAGTCAGCGAGAGTAAAAGGGAGATCAATCAATGCATTGGCCTAAAGTGGCGTTTAAATCCTCTTAAAATAATCAATAAAACGGCCTGAAACATCTCATACCACACCTCCAAAATTAGCATTTGAAATGACCAAAATAGTACACAACAAGTCTCAAAAAAAAAAATCAACACTTAAAGTACCCAAATCATGCCATTTAAAAACTTCCATAAATCAGCCTTTAAGTGACCAAAACAGTAAGAAAAGGCCTTTCAAATTAGCTATCAAACAATAGGTAATGCCCTCAAGATAACCTAGAAAAGATGGCATTTAAACCTTCCAAATGATGGGCAAACCAACCCCGAAAGAATGACAATTTAAAACCTTCCCGAATAGTATCCAAATTAGCCTACAAAGTGTCTCAAAAAAGTAATAAAACCCTTCCAAATCAGCTATCAAACAATAGGTGAAGCCCTCAAAATAATCTAGAAAAGATGGCATTTAAACCTTCCAAATGATGGACAAACCAACCCCGAAAGAGAGACATTTTAAACATTTCCGAATAGTATCCAAATTTGCCCACAAATTGTCTCAAAACAGTAAGAAAAGCCTTCCAAATCAGCTATCAAACAATAGGTAAAGTGAAGCAGCACATAGATCCATCTCAGAACAATGAGCATATTTAAGCCCCTAAAAGGTCAAAAATAGATATAGCAGCAACAAGATTCAAAATGAAGGAAGAATTTGCACACAAGACACTTGATTCCTAAACATTTGTACATTTAACACCTAACCCAAATTCCTCATTCATGCCATCTTGCTTATGTGTGAAAAGGTGTGCCTCACTTCTAAAAAAAAAATAAAACATTGATTGTCATATGAAGGCCTTGATTGATAGAAATGTAATCAAAATTTAGATGTTAAATATGTAAACGCATGGGAATTAAGTGGTATGCATGTAAATCTTCAAAAACAAATACTGCAACCATATATGTGCTAAGTACTTTGCATCACTAAGCATCAGTTAACAGAGGTAAAACAGAAATGTGCTTTAAATATAACCATCATATATGAATTGCTCCTTTCTTTTTCTTTGCCAATGAAATCATATTTTATCCTCAGGAACCACAAGTAGTATGACATGAAAACATCAAATCCCTCAAAAGGCATCAGATCTCACAAATTTCATTAACTAATAGCCAAGAAAACCCATAGTATACCGAAAAAAAATTTCAGATTTCACAAAAAAAGCCGCTACATTTTAAGTTATTCACGTGTATAAGTGTTTCGGATATTGAATGTTCAAGCACATGAAAATTTCATATTTGAACATCTTAGCACGTAGGTATTCAGTTGTGTGAAAGTTTAGGCATATGGGTGCAAGTAGACCGAAACAGCGAGTGCAAGAGAAGAACCTAGTTCAACCTTCATATGTATATATACAAAAACATATTACCCCTGAAGAACGAATGCAAGGAAATAGAAAACTGTAACCCTCCTAAAAAGGCCAGCATTTTTAGAGAATCAGCAATTTCTTCAAAATAAGATACTCAAGCAAAGCTGGAATTTAATCCTAGCTTACTCAGGCTCTGTTTGGCACAGCTGCAGTTGCGCTGCCTAAGAAACTGTTGCGGGGAAGCAGCTTTAGTGAAGCTGATTGTTTATTTGGCGCAGCTGCAGTTGCGCTGCCCAGGAAACTGTTGCAGGGAAGCTGTTTTAATGAAACAAGTTATTTGGCAGCTGTTTATGGAAAAATGACCATTCCGCCCCTCTTCAGCAAAGCTGTTTAAAACATAATATAAAATAATTTTTATATTAAACAAATTATTTCTTAAGCAATAAATTTAATAAAAAAATAAGTAGTTTTAATAATTAAGAAAATTTCCCCTTCGATAAAAAACGAACAAGAAAATGACTAAGCGATCCAAGCATAAGCCATTCAACTAAAAATGAAACAGAATAGCAACCAAACCATCAACTGCAAGTAAGCCATTTCTGAAGTTCTTGGGATCTAATCCCCACCTCCATCACAACTTTCCCACAAAGCAAAAAAAAAAAGATAGATAGAAACAACAAAAAGGAATATTTTGATAAAATTCAAATTCATTATAATTTAGCTTAAAACAGCGAATTTCTCTGAAAACCTTGAAGAACCATAATTCCAAGTTCCACCTATCATAATTAAATTGAAATTAATGATGCAAACCGCTCCCAAATCAGAAATGGATAACAAAGCAAGGCTCCTCACCATATATTCTTCTATCTATACAAATCTACCATAGAGCAGGACCCGATGCACAGTTTTTTTTTAAGAAATGGATAACACTAAGCAGTGGTACCTCTTCCGGCATAAAACGCTCGATCCATTGACGACCCTGCGACCTAAGGGCATCCCCAACTCCAGCGAGATCAAATAGAGAGCAGAGGGGCGAAGCAACGCAGGATCCGTGAGATGGCAGGCGGGGGAGAGATAGAAAAAAAAAACACTCTTTCTCCTCCTTCGATACCTTCGAGGGCGAGGATGGAAGAGAAAGGAGACCAATGGGCTTCCTTCCGATAGGAATATAAGGGAAGAGGAACGAACGAGCCGAACTGCCACCAACAAACAAATGCGAGTGAAGGAGAGGGGAAGGAGCAGAGCTTCATTTCGCGTAACAACTCAAACGAACCAGACCTTTAATCGAAGGGCGGCTAGGTAACTATGGGACCGCGGAACGCGGGCTGTAGGCTCGATCCCGCGGCCGGCTTTTCGCGAAAATTTACCTTGCGTTCGCCGCAAGGTTCTCATCCTGTGCCCCCAAATAGAAGACGTCCGCGGTGGGGTTCCGTGAAGCTATCCAGCTGCGCCCCCAAACAGAGCCTCAATCAGTATGTATTCCCTTTCTTCTGCACAAATCAACTTCATGCATATAAACAGCACCAATCTTAAGGTAAAGAAATTATAGAAGAACGAGAAATGAAGAAAATTAGAGGGGAAATATCGCCTTGCTCATGATTCAACCAAAACAAGAGGAACTCCAAAATACCTCAGCACACAAAGAACCAAGATATTTCAGCAGCAGCTTCCCCTCTTGCCAAAATTTCAACAACAGCTAACATTGCCCTAGGTAGGGCTTTTATAAGCAGGGAAGAAAGGAGCTGCACCTACCCTGATGAAGTGGCCAAATGAGGTAACGAGAGAGGAAGAGGCGCATTTAGGGGGGAAATAATGCGGCCTCGAGAAGATAAAGGGTCGGCAGGTGAAGCTCCGCGATTAGAGAGCTGCTCGGCCGAGCGGCTTGCGAAGGAGAGGAGTCACCTGCTAGCTGGGAGCTCTGCTTGAACCAGATGGTTCGCGAATAGGAGGGGAACGCGCGAGCTAAGGCACGGGTCGGGTGAAATGTCGAGCAAGAGAAAGACAAGCTCAAGCGAAATATCAAGCGAGGGAGGAGGATCGCGATCGGGAAGAAGGGCCTGAAGGAAGCCACGTCCGCAGTTAGGGATTTAAGGATTATTATTATTATTATTATTATTATTATTATTATTATTATTATTTTGTTCTATTTTATTATGTTATATTATTTAAATAACTTTAATTTGCGCGTGATTTATTCGTGTTTGGAATCCTGGCAAAATGGATATCTTTTCTAAAAGCTCGTTTGGGGTAAGCTTATTTCTGCGGGCGGCATTCCGCCCCTCAGTTTCTTTTTCACGTTTTGGGTGGGATTTAAAAAAAAGTCATTTTTATTTTCTTAATAACACTGCTTGTGGAATGAACCCAGCGGGTCGTGTTCCTTGCTTACGGATTACTTCGTTGTCATTATGTGTTTCTGCCCTAAGCTGCTTCGGCTTCATCAGCAATCTCCCAGAGGTAACGCATCTTCCCTTTTTTCATTTCTTCTCCATTTTCTGTTCGCGCTCTTTGCTTACGGAATTCCTGCGAGCTTTACCAAAATTCCTCCAATGGCGGACAAACACTCCTCCGATGAGGACTAAGAGTTCAGTGAACCCGACGACTACGCCGAGAAAGTCTTTGTCCTTCAAAGACAGAAATCACCGAATTCTAAACCCCGGTGGCACCATGTGCTGTCCTTACTGTGTCGGTAAGAAGCAGCATTGTCGATACAAAGACCTCCTTTAGCACGCAATTGGAAGAGGATCTTCCACTTCAAGAAAGGCTAAGGACAAGGCCAACCATCTTAGCTTTGCTCGATTCCTCCAAAACCACCTCGCCCTGGCCGCAGGGAACGTGAATCCTCCTCCACCGCTTGCAGCTGAAAAGGCATCATCCAGTTCTAATTCGAGCACCGATGAGCTTTTTGTTTGGCCTTGGGCGGGAATGCTTGTAAATTTGCCCATAGAATATAAATGTGTTCTTCTCAAAGAGCAATTTTCAGAGTTCAATCCGATGGATCTCATTGTTTCACCTGAGTTATACCCTGAAACTGGTAAAGGCAATGCTGTGACTTTGTTTAATAGTGATTGGAGAGGGTTCAAGGATGCTGTGGCATTCGAAACCCACTGTAAGGTTAAACAGTTGGGAAAGAAGGATTGGAATGAAATGAAAAGTCTGAACTTGATTGGGATTCATGGGTGGATTGCATGTGATGATGAATTTAATTCTGATAGGCTGCTTGGAAAGATTCTGCAGAAGCATGGGAAGTTTCTGTGTTAGCCAGGCAAATTTTACAGTGACTGTTCTGTAATTGCTGTGGTTTTCAAGCTAACTGTTTGAAAATTATTAATAACATCGGTTGGAGTAAAGTATTTATTCTTGTTTGCTTTACTAAAGAGTTTCATATCTAACTTCATTTAAGGTTATAAATGTAAACATCTAACATGGCATGCGTAGTGTTTTGAGTAGAGAGGGATAAAGTGTATCTAGAACTTTGTCACTCTTTGCCTTGAAAGAGATTTTTCTTTTCAACTCTCTTATTTTAATCCCGATCATTTCATTCAACATACAGTAGAGCATATGGTTGTTTTTATTTTCTTTTTTTGTGGATGTTGAAGATTTGAGTGCTTTGCATGTAAATATGAAAGTTTTAAGTGTTGGATATGTAAATGCATAAGAATTATACGGTACATAAATGTTTACTGTATTTCTATTGTATTAAGAAGATTTCAGTCATATGTTTGTAAATATCACTTCCAGGGTGTATGTAGCAAACACCTTTACCTTGCCCCGACCAAGGAGATCATTTGAGTGAGTTTTGTATGGATTCATGAATGAACTGATTGTTGAGTCCACAAAAAAGCTCAGCATTTACAACTATATGAATCACTGGAATACATAAGAATACTTATGTATATTATCTATTTCCTATGAATCAGCTGTTTTCTAAACGCACAAACTAAACAGTTAAACAGTTTATCCAAAACAGGGGCAGAATGATCATTTATCCAGAATCAGCTGTTTTCGAAATGCATAAACCAAACAGCTAGCTAGCTTATCAGGATAAGCTGATCAGCAGATTATCAGGATAAGTTGTCTATTTTGATAAGTTGGATAAGTTGCAGCTGCCCCAAACAGACCCGAAGTAATTTCGACATACCGAACGCGCCGGCGCAGTCTGTTTTGTGATTCGGGGTCGTCCGGACAACTTTGTCGACAATCGGGTCAAAAATACGTCAAATTCAAGTTTCTTCAAATTTTGATTCGTGATCGATCATTTCAAAAATTAAATCATATTTCGATTAATTGTGAAGCTTTTACATGTGTAAATGACGTGAATTATGATATTTGTGTGCACGAATATGCGAATTGTGGCATCTGCAGGCGTGAATCTGCGAAAGTCATAATTGGCGTCCTAAGGCTTTTGAACCCTAAGGAACTATCTTTGGGTCTACATATGTTGATCCTTAGCCCTTGCAAATAAGAATTGAGTTCTTGAAACCACTCATATAAGGCATCGCAAAAAAAAAAAAAAAAAACCAGGAGGTGATTTGAGCTTCTAAAAGGGTGGGTCTCATCACTAGTCCTTTAGGAAAGTCCTAAGGCTAGAACTTAGGCTCTACGAGAAGAGTAAGAAACCTCACTAAAAATGAGGTCAACATGTCTGTAGCTCATTTAATCTCTAAAATAATTTTGAAAAACAAAATCTATAGTCGATTCAATTCGCATGTGTTGCATTGAGATTTGAGCTTTATATCACAGTTTGTGCTTGATCAAATGAATTTTACTGTGACCCTAACAACTGGACCACCTAACATATTTATTGCCACATCAATTAGAAATGCAACATACCTAATTGATGTATTTCACACATTTAGCTATCAGGATTGTTTACATAAAAATCCCTACAACTAAGCTGTCTTGCAAACCCTCATCTCCATTCCCATTGTATCCTCAAATCCATTTCAATTCAAATTTATTCAATGCTTCCAAGATATGCCAGCAGCATTCATGCAAGAGAACGATGAAAACAATGATGATTAAATCGATTAGTGACTAATGATGGCCAATGTCATTACAAAGATGGATCATAATAAACGGATAGTTTTTTAGAATAAAAGAGTTTAAATCATTGAACAGCTTATCGTTCCCCTTAAGTAGTGATCCTTTCCACCTTTTTTATCAATGCTTCAGCCTCCAAAAAGGAACTCACAACACCGTGAGGCATGGCAAGTAATACAAATCCAGAACAAGTATTTCAAGGCTGATGAATTCACATCAGACAACATAATTTCCAATCTTCCCTTGATGGATTTCAAATAAATATAAGAATCACCCACCATCTGATATTTGAAAACACACTGCCCGCCCTGACTAAACTTTAACACAATTAAAATTTCACAACTTGTCTTGAAATAGAAGTATAAGCCTGAAAGAACAATAAATTTAATGAAAGAAAAAAAGAGCAGAAAATCGTACCCAGTAAACTTTGTTGGAATGTTGCTGGAATAAGTTCTTGACATCTAATCAACAGCCAATTCTGCAAAAAGTTCCATAAGAATAATAATGTAATAAGAATTGAACTAGACATTTCACAAAAACTGTGTAAAAGGCTGCCAGCCTGCCAATAGGGATGTAAATAAATGGAATACCCAGCTTGAGACAAATTTAATACAACAAGTTCAAGCCACTCATGGGTCGGATCTTCTCACTGAAGAGAATGCAAGTCCAAGGAGTTCTGGCAATGAAACAATGAAAGGGTGAGAAATCAGTGGAGAAAGAATGACTCGTTCTGGGGAAAAATAAAATAAAATAGAAGAGAGAATAAAAACTATAAATTTGGGATTTTATTCACTTTGCAATTGAAAACTAAAAATTCTAATGTTTTTATGTATAGTTTAAATTAACATTTTTAAGTGACTTCATGAGTTCAGTGAATGTTAAGTCTAGCTATGCCTTTTAAGGCTAAATCAAATGATCAATAGACATATACAATCTCAAGCTCAGGTTGACCCATGACTACCCCAACTTAATGGTAGCAGCCACGAAACTAGAAAAAACGTATTTCTAAAAGGAAACTCTAAATCATTTACTTGTTCAAAGCAATGGACAAGCTTGAAAGTTTGAGGCCCAATTTACTCGAATTCAGAAAATCTTGCGGTTCAAATGAAGCTGCAAATAATGAACTTAAAAGGAAATAATGCAAAATATAATCCAATATGATTTATTAGAACCTTATTCATGCTTTTTATAAACCAATAAGAAACCAATTTTATAATATAATTCAAGAATAACCTATTTAATATCTGTTACAAAAAAATAACAATAAATAAGTGGCGAGAATGAAAGCTTCGTTTCGGAAAAATTATTACGTGTCGTGCAGATGTTTGTGCGATGTCGTGGATCTCACCACGCAATTGTGCAAGCAACGTGGTGTGATCCACACCTTCATCTATACATTCAGTGGTTCAGATATAATACTTTTGTCGTTTCAAGCACAACACAATGAATATTCTACACTAGTGGACATCTGAATTCAATCAGATATGCACATAGGTTTGAAAATAAACAATGTTTCAGCATTATTAGTAAAAAGGAATCATTAATCTGCAGAAAACCAGGAAGAATACTTCCAAAAGAACACTGGAAATACAGCAGATAAGGTCCAAAAACTATATACAGCATAAATCATATGTTTAATGAAGCAGAAATGATAGATCCTGTCAAATAAAACCATGCAATGAGGATGTTCCAGCATGCCTCAGACCAATAAAATTTAGGTTGCCACTCAAATCTCAAAAACAAACAGCTGAGGAGTTTACATATGGATATGATTCCAAAAAACAATCCCAATCAATAAACTTGATCATAAAATCTATTTTAGACCAATATGCCAACATAGCTTATAAAATGAAATTGAAGAATAATTCATCACTTACATCAAAGATGTAAATTAATTTGCAAATGTAGATAAAGTAAACAACAACGTTAATGAGAAAACAAAAGCTTACAGACAAATAGTCTGGTACAAAGAGCTTTCAGAGTAAAAACATTAAACAATAGTTCAAACTCAAACCATTCCATCCTACAAATAACTAATAAATCAAAGAAAAGCAAAATGCTCTTGAAGAACCGCAGGACTGAATGCATCCATAAGCCCATCGTCAATACAAAAGTCATCGAATCTCTAAACCAGATGAGTAATCACGCTTGACATTGAACTAAAACAAAAACAAGCAAGAATTAGCAAACAATCAAAATAAAGTCCTCTTAAAACTTTCATAAAGCCAATTAAAAGCATAAAATTCAACCTTCATTTAAAATATTACGAATGCAAGGTATGATGGAACAAGTCAATTGATGGATTTACCTAATGAAGACCATAACCACTCATAGAACCCATGGAAGACCTTTGCACAGCTGTGTGACCCGTGTTTCCACGATGATGTGCGCCTACCTGGGGTGTATTCCCAAGTAAACCCGGTGCACTTTGGTATCCTGGTGACCCTTGAAAAGCAGAAGGTCCTTGGAAACCAATGTGCCGATACCCAGAACCCGCAGATGGATATCCCGGTATTGGGACAGTCCCTTGTTGTTGTGACATAGCTCCTGCTGCCTGTGGAAGTGCAGCTGGAGCTGCCCCTGCAGCCAGTGCCATGGCAAGAGCAGGGTTTAAGGAAGCAAGCATTGCCGGAGTGATACCAAAAGCTGCTTGGTTCTGGCCAGCAGCTGCCAACATAGCAAGCACAGCAGCGTTTCCGGGCATAGCCTGCCCAAGTAGCCCCTGTCCAAGCAGCGCTGCGTGCTGGGCCATTCCCATGTCTGATTGAGCAACTTGCCCGCCATAAACAGATCCGTTGTAGCCAACATAGCTAGGTGGAACATTGGGTGCAATAACCGCTGAACCACCAGCGTCGTTACTAACTGGTGCCGATATCTTTGCCTTGTGACTATCGGTAGCCTTCTGAATCACAAGGTGATGTCCCTCAAAATTCTTACTAGGCTCCTCCAAAGCCTTTTTTGCTCCTTCAGGCGTTTTATACAAGAAAATTGCAAAACCCTTAGACTTGCCAGTGTGGCGATCAAATCCAAGCGGCCCTTCCTCGATCTCTCCGTACTGAGAGAAGAATGCGTGAAGACGGCGACCGTCGATGTCAGAGTGCACGTTGCCGACGTAGATCTTGCGGTTAAGGCTATCTCCATGACTGGGGTTGAGATTGGGATTATGGTTATTGCTAGTGTTAGGGTTCGGGGTGGTCGGACCGTTGCTAGCGAGCTGGCAGGAGGCCATCCGAGTATCGATGAGCTTTCGGGGTTCGCGGAGCGCACGGCGAGCAGACGATCGGTGGCGAAAGAGAATGAAACCGTATCCCTTCGATCGAGCAGTAGAGCGGTCGAAAACGACGCGGCTTTCAACGATTTCTCCGTACCGCGAAAACGCAGCACTGAGGCCGTCGGATGTCGTGTTCCAGTCGAGGCCGTGTACAAAGAGCTTGCGATGAGAAGGATCGACGTCGGCTAAGGCATGAATCTCGGAGAGTGTGGCAGGATCTCGAGCTGCGGCGGAAACAAGGAGGGTGATGAGTTGATCGTTAGAAAGAGGTTCGAGAAGCTTGCCGAAGTCTTCTTCCTCGTCTTCGTAATCTTCGTCGGATTCCGAGGGTCCAGCGCCGGCGTTGTCGTCGGGCTGGCGGATGTACTTGACGGGTGTGTGATTAAGATTTGTATCAGTGTCTTGATTGGGAAGGGATCGGCCGGCGTCTTGCTCGGCTTTTCGCTTCTTGGGGGCCGCCATTGGAACCGAGAAGCGGGAGAAAACCGTGCCGGTGAGATCGTGTGCGTATGCGAGTGGATCTCGATGGTTTTGCGTTAGGGTTTGTGGATTTTAGTGACCATTTTAGGAAATGGAACGAAAATTAATATAGGGGCATTTACACAAATGGCCGACAAATCTTATTTATTTACACATCTTGAGCGTAAACTCACATATTTACACACATAACTCTCCAATCTTTTATATTACAATGAAAATATCTTTTCTATGAAATAATTTTTTTCTGGCTTAGGTTCTATATATGTAAATATAAAAATTTAATTATTAAATATATAAATACATAAAAATTTGGTGCTCCATTTGTAAATTTACCAATAATCTAATAGATCAGACGGATGAGTTGGACCCCAAAATAGTTAGTCACTTTTATGATCTATGATTTTTTTTTTTTTATGATCTATGATTTTTTGAGGCAATGACATACTATACCCCTAATTTGTATGTATTTACATTTCTAACATCTTAATTTTAATTTTTATATTTATATCCCCCAAATCTTACATATTTTTTTTTGTCGCGCATCAATTTGTCTTTTAAAAAGTAAGATACACAGTTTAATTGCATAAGAACATATGATGATCTAATTAGGAGAGTGGATGTTTTAGATTCAACTTTTGTTAAGAAATGCAGAGGTAGACTTAGGAAGACTTGAGCTTATTATATAAAAAATGATCTTAATTTATTAAAACTAAATCAAAATATGACACTAAATAGGACACAATGGAGAAAAAAGATTCATGTAGTCGACCCCATCTAGTGGGGTTAAGGCTTTGTTGTTGTTGTTGTTGTAAGCAATGCGTGTATATATAGAGGCAAGAATTTAAGTTTAACTATTAGATATATATATAAATATATAGGAATTGAGTGGTATAACTTTAAATATTTTTAATTGTTATATATTTACATAACTAGAATTTAAGGTTTAATATATTCATATATATATATATATATATATATAGGGGGAACCTACGTAGAGTCCAAAAGGGGCAATTGGCCTCTTTCCAATTCAAATTTTTATTTATATATGAACAATATGGTCTTTTGACCCTCATACAATATCAATTTTGCATCATCTGAAATATTCGTTGTTGAGTCTAGTGGGACAATTGTTTAAAGATGGAGCCCGGTTCGTGACTCTACGACCCCGCTCCTGATCATTTGCGACCCGCTCCCGTCTAGCATCAATTCGCAAATCGTAGGCGTCAACAGCTCCCGCCTTCCTCTGTTGTGAAACGAAGCATCCCTTCACTCTCTCCTCTTCACAATAAATTTGAATTTGAAGGGGCAATTGGCCTCCTTTGAATTCAAAATTTTATTTATATATGAACAATTTGGTCTTTTGACCCTCCTAAAATATCAATGTTGCATATTCTGAAATATTCGTTGTTGAGTCTGGTGGGACAATTTGTCTCTTCTCAAAAAAGATGTTTGTTCAGCCCTATGGGAGTGTGTGTGTGTGTGTGTGCACGTATTTATTTATAGTGTGCGTTCCATGGTCAGTTGGTAGAGTAGGTTCTTTAGAGGTCGTATGTCCCCATAGGTCCAGGGTTCAAATCTCATGTTGGTGTAGTGTCTCCTTAAGACAGGTGGTACTCGAATATATTTGCACACCGCGTTGATTCCCATACCTGACGACAGTTAGTACATTCAGGGTTGATTGGAAGGTCAGCTAGGGTTGCCTCGTGTTCGACTGATTCAAAATTGGCTCGTGTTCAAAAATGACTCGTGTTCGAAATGACTCACGAACTGTGTGTTCGTGTTCAGCTCGAAAACATATTTATATTCGTGTTCGGCTCTAAATTGACACGTTAGAATATAAAATTATTAAAATAATTTATTTTTTAAATAATTTTTTATATAATATTTTTTTCTTAAAAAAATGTTTGTATTAATAATTTAATTATAAACAAATCTTAAGAATAAATTTCATAAAACATAGAGTAACTAAAAAAAATCAAGAATAAATTTCATACAAAATTTAAAAAAAATATATTAATTTTTTTTTTTACAAAATTTTATACAATAAGGACAACTTTATTATAAATTTTATAATTTACAAATTAAACAAGAAAGCAAAAAATACAAATAAAATCTCAAATAAAAATCAAAATATACAAAATTTTACAAAAAAAATTATATTTATTTTTTGATACACATATACTTATGACTTTCATAAACTAAAAAAATAAAAAAAATACATTAAATTTAAACTCGACTTTGTACTACTTCAATCTTTATGTTTCACAATCGAATGAATGGTGATTAGTGAATGACGATGAGCCAACGATGATTTTGTACCTGCAATTCATAATTATAAAAATAGCACACATATGAATAAACAAATTGAGTCTAAAGAATATCATCACTAAAAAATACACTAGTAGCAGAAAATTATCCCAAACAAAAAAACAAATAAAAAGCAATAAATAGACATTAACTTGAAATCTTAAGAGAGAAAGGGATTTTAAAGTGTTTTAAGTACTAGAATCATCAATAACATCACAACAATGGTTTTATCAAGTTTTTTTAAGTACAAGTCTCATTGACATCGGGATTCCACTAGATTCTCCAAGTTAGATGCTCGTGTGTAGTGGTTGATTCAACAAGCAACAGTAACTCCCTTTTCTTTTTAGAATATGCGCATACCAAGTAATCAAATACAAAAATTAAAAACAAAAATGATCCCAAACAAATCCTTACCCAGTCCAAAAGGCGAAGGTTTGTTGGGTCGGTTAGCTAGGTGACACTCTTATCAGTTACCAGTAACTATTTCCAATGCAACAATACCAAAATCATAAACATTTGTCTTTACTGTCAAGTAGCCCATTGGTACAATACATAAGGAGAAACATGAGTGATTTCGAGTTAGGCATAGCATAATACAACTACATACCTTTGCTTATAAACACAAACTAACCCTTTATAAATCAGTACCTAACTTGCTTAATTGTCTACATGAAGGGACTAAATACCTGAAAATTCACCTAGGAAATTTTTTTTTAATTGCCAATTAGCATGGCTTGCTTTAATGAGCTACACATCAAAATGAAACACAAAACCTACAAATTATCTACATAAAGCGGCAACAAAAATACTATGCATCGATGATAAAGTTATAAATCCAGACCTTAAAAGTTGTAGAAGAAAGATGATAAATTGCAACATCCAATTGAAATGAATACTGCACTTAGATTATGCTTTCGTTTTGCATCAAAATTACAAGAAAAGTTAGAATTTTGCAGTCCTAAATAGTGTCCAATAAACACACTTGGTAGACTCCAAAAACTTTATACGTGCAGGTGAACAACATCAGAAACAATAGATAAAACTATTGTTGTGACCGTTATGATGTTTTCTTCTTCATAGTCATCCTCAAACCAAAACAATAAAATACAACTAATGAAATGCAAAGAATAAAAACCATAAGAAATACATCTAATGCAAATGCAAAGAATAACATCCATTCAAACCAAATGATGACTTCCCACATATATTACCCAAAAGTTAAATAAATAGCCATGCATATGTTCAAATTAAGCTGCAGAAAATTCTTGCACACAGTTATAATCCCCCAAATGTAGAAGCTCAGGAGGCAACCCATAAACCAGTGAAGGACACCAGCAAATTGCAAAAGCCATTATAAGTAACAAGTAGTAGAAATTAATAAGTAATCATGGTCTAATGTAAAGGACATCTAACAACTCCCCAACAACCAACTTAAAAAAAGTACTAGCAAGCTGTCTACCAACAATAATTTTATTTGCTTTAGCACCAAAATCAGCCAACCAATTAGTTGGCCCATTGCGCTCTCTATGAATAAATTTCCAGCCAGTGTTAATTTGAGAAGAGAGTGGCTTAATTTTTTTATATAATGAATTATGTTCCAATGTGCCACTCTGTTGTCGTTCAAAATTTTGCACCAACACAATAGATTCCATCTCAATCTTAACTAGGGGCCATTTAGCACATTTAGCAATTAAAATAGCCATAAAAACAACCCTAGCTTTAGCCTTTAAAGTTTTATCAGTAAGGCAAGGAGATGAGAAGTATAAAAGGCACCTTCCATGATCGTCTATGACAATACCACCAATACCAAAAACAACCTTATTCGAACTGCCATCAATGCTTATTTTGATTCAGTTTGTAGGAGGGGGCAGCCATCTCATCAAAGTTGGGAGTTGCTGCCTCCTTCCACAAATCCTGGTAGGATAGTGACATAGATTGAATGTAAGATATGTCAAAGAAAAATGTTGACTTCCCGCATCGCATATATTCAAGAATAGAATCCATTCAAACCAAATGACGACTTCCCGCGTATATTACCCAATAATATAAATATTATAGGGGGATAAATGTCTCCCCTAATGCATAAAGTTGAGAGAAACAATATCAGTGAAGAATAACCAGCCAAGAATAACATCAACGAATAATAAGCTCAAATTTTTACTTGAAATTGATTGTTTTCAATTCAAATCGACTTGAACTTGGCTCACGTAGATATCCAAATCTTTGATTTCATGTCATGAATTGCTTGCATGAAATTTGATTCAATATCGGAGAGTAAATGAATCACTGGAAACATTGAAGGAGAACTATAAAAAGTAATACAAGGTTATCAATGACTCCCAAAGTAAGAGATTTAGAAGCGGGACGTGGAGAATCATAGGATGTGGAACTAATGTATTTCTTTCTTGATGCCTTATTACTAGCAAATGGTAACATTTATGGAAATGTAAAGAGTTCTTAGACTTAATAACTACCTAAAACTACCTATGCTTGAAGTCTTGCTACGCTTGCTAGCCTATTGCCTAAGAGAGTAAATTCCATAAAAGTATAATAAATACAAATATCATAAACGTGTATCATTGAAAGCCTATTTTTCATGAATATTGATAAACGAAATGTTGTTTCTTCTATATAACAACTGCGGACAATAAAATCACATTTTTTTAAGTTTTCAACAACTCTTATATCAAATATGATCCATACAAAAATCAGATTTAAATGCAATATGCGAGATTTCACTGTCAAAACCCTAAAAGACTAGGTTTCACCCAAAAAATCTAAGTATATCTAAAATA